TGGATCTCACTCTGTAGACCAGGCTGGCCTCGAACTCACAGAGATCCACCTGCCTCTGCCTCCCGAGTGCTGGGATTAAAGGCATGCGCCACCACCACCCAGCTTTTCTAATTTCTTTAGAGACCTTTTGGCCCCTTTAAAAGTCACTTGTAGCCAGGCATGGTGGGGCACACCTTTAATCCCAGTACTTGGGAGGCAGAGACAGGTGGATCTCTGTAAGTTTGAGGCCAGCCTGGTCTACAGAGTTCCAGGACAGCCAAGGCTATACAGAGAAACCCTGACTCTTAAACAAAAAGTGAATTGTAATCCAGGATGAGGGGGTAGTGAGTTCCTTTAATCCTAGAACCTGGCAGGCAAAGGTAGGCAGAGCCCAGTGAGTCCAAGGCTAGCCTGATCTACATATCAAGTTACAGCCAGAGCTACATAGTGAGATCTTGTCTCCAAAAAACACCAAAAACATTCCCCTGTGTCAAACCCAGAAGAATTAAATCAGGAAGTAATTCCTCAGCAAATTCCACAATACTAGGTACAGCTTGTTCTACAAAAGTTGATCTCAACCAGGTGTTTTGGTGCACATCTCTAGTCCCAGCACTCAGGAGACAGAGGCAAGCGGATCTCTGTGAGTTCGAGGCTAGCCTGATCTATAGAGCTAGCTCTAGAACAACCAGGGCTACACAGAGAAACCCTGTCTTGAAAAACCAAAGAGAAAAGTGGGGGGGGGGGGGAGAAGGAGGAAGAGAGGGGAAGGGGATGGAGGAGGGAGGGGAAGGAGGAGGAAGAGGCTCACTATTAACTCAGGTACAGAAGATCTGCGGGTTTCTCCTGTTTGCTGACTCTCATTCTTCTGTTCGTGTGATTCCATCCAGGGACCCGCGTTACACTGAATGTTATGTCTCCTCCATCTCACTGATCTGTGACAGTTCTTCAGGCCTTCCCGCTTCCCGCTTTTTTCATGGCCTGGACAACTTTGATTTTACTTTCCCGCTTTGAAGAGTTGGAGTCTGCTGTGTTTATAAGAACTGCCTGCCAGTTTGGATTCCCGAGGTTTTCTCATGATCCAATTAAAGTTACACATTGCTGGGGAAAACGTCGTAGAGGTGGGAAGTGGTGTCTTCCTTTTTCAGTGCGTTCCTACAAGAGGCATTTCATATTGAGTCACAACCCAGGGAAGTGAACCCTGACTGAGGCTAAGGTGGTCTCTACTGGGCTACTGGGCTGCTTCTTCTTCTTCTTTTTTTTTTTTGGTTTTTGGAGACAGGGTTTCAATGTGTAGTTTGGAGCCTGTCCTGGAACTAACTCAATAGACGAGGCTAGTATCGAACTCACAGAGATCCGCCTGCCTCTGCCTCCTGAGTGCTGGGATAAAAGGTGTGCGCCACCACTGCCTGACTCTACTGGGCTTCTTAAAACACTGTAGAATTATTTGTTTTTCTATTTTTAATTTTATGTGTATGAGTGTTGGTTTGTTTTTTTTTTTTTCTGCATGTGTGTATATATTTCTTTGGAGACATACATGCTTGGTGCCCTAGGAGGCCAGACAGAACTGGATTCCCTAGAACAGAAGTAACATAGTTGTAAGCTGCTGTGTGGGTGCTGGGAACTGATCTCAGGCCCTCTGCAAGGGCAGCAAGTGTTCTTAACCATTGAGCCATTGATCCAACCCTATTGTACAATTATTGTTATTTTTTGAGAGTCTCACTGTGTAGACTAGGCTGGTCTTGAACTCACAGAGGTCCACCTGCCTCTGCCTCCAATGCTGGAATTAAAGGCATGCATCAGCACACTTGGCCCATTATTAATTTTTATTGTTGTTTTGTTTTGTTTTTCTAGACAGAGTTTCTCTGTGTAGTTTTGGTACCTGTCCTGGATCTCGCTCTGTAGACCAGGCTGGCCTTGAACTCACAGAGATCTACCTGGCTCTGCCTCCCAAGTGCTGGGATTAAAGGCGTGTGCCACCACCACCCTGCCCCACATTGTTAATTTTTAAATCTTTACTTATATGTAGATGTCAATATGAGTGTATGCCACATGTGTGTGTGGGTGCCTGCAGAGGCCAGGAGAGGGCGTGGGATCCCCTGGAGCTAAAGTTATGGGTAGTTGTGTGCTGCTGTGCCATGTGCTTGCTGGTAACTGAACAGCAGTCCTCTGGAAGTGCTCTTAACCACTGAGCCATCTCTCTAGCCCCAAATAGTATTACTTTACTTTGTGAGGTATATGTATGTATTTGTGTGGGTATGTGCCCATGTGTGTGATATGTGTGAAGTATGCCAGATGTCAGCATCAGGTGTCTTGTCTATTACTTTCCACCTTATCTTATGAAACAAGGTCTCTCACGGAACCTGGAATTTGTTGATTGGCCTTGGCTGGCTAGCCACATATCACACACACACACACACACACACACACACACACACACACACACACACCTCCCTTTCTCTCCTTGACTAGTGATTGACCCTAGGGCCTTGCACATGCTAGTGAGTGCTTGCCCACTGAGCTACATTCCCAGAACTTTTTAAAATTTATTTATTTTTTATTTTAAGACAGGGTTTCACTAAATGGCCCAGGCTACTCACTATGAAGCAAGATTGGGCAGCTACATGAGACCCTATCTCAAAAGATGAAAGGCTGGGGAGATGGCTCAGTGGTTAAAAGCACTGACTGCTCTTCCAGAGGACCTGGGTTCAATTCCCAGCACCCACATCCCATCAGCTCATGATCATCTATAACTCCCTGTTTCAGGGGTCTGACTCCCTCTTCTGCCTTCTTGGGTGTCAGGCATGTACAAGGTACACATGCATACTAAATACCCATCCATACACATAAGACAATTTTTTAAAATTTAATCATGAGCTGGGCAGTGGTGGTCACACATTTAATCTTAGCACTCAGGAGGCAGAGGGGCAGTCTGATCTCTGTGAGTTCAAGGCCAGCCTGATCTATAGAGCAAGTTCCAGGACAGCCGGGGCTACACAGAGAAACCTGTCTGAAAAAAACAAAAAACCAAAATATTTAATAATGAATCCACCCGCCAGTGACTCAATCTACAGATAAGCAGAAACCTCCTTCCTGATCTGGTCACCCTTGAGCATCGCCACTAGCTAGGGACCAAACCCTGAATACAGAAGCTTTCAGAAAGTCACTTCAGATCCAAACCGTAGCCCCAGGGGAGCCTGTGAGAGTCCCCAAACTGCACTTGGTTCCCTGAGGAGGCGAATTCAGATAAAGGAGATTTGGCAAACAGTGTTTGAAGTTTTTGTGCAAAGTCTACAGGTCAGAACAAGAAGAGGATGCAGGTGAGCACGTAAGGGCCTACATATCACCATAGGCTTTAGGAACCAGGACTGTTCTCGGTGCCTTTGTCCACAGCTGCGGGGTCGGATGTCCGAAGCTTACAGTACCCTCTCCTCAATGCCAAGGTCTCTTCAGGAGTGTTCCAAAGTCTACCCAGCTGGCTAAGGAGCTGGACACTAGTATGGCAGGTCTGAATCTCTCCGCCTTCTTTTATGGAACACGTGTTTACTGAGCAGCGACTTTTTGGCGGTCAGGGGACATAGAGCAGTAGGCAGAACGCTCAGGGAGATATAGAGAATTACAGTGAACAAGTAACACCAAAGTAACAAACAATATTAAACGTTATGTCCTAAAACAACTGGGAACAAGCCAGGTGGCGGCG